CAAATAAGAACGAGTACTAGTACACCCACTCAAATAACCTTAACATGGAAAGTATGGGTTTAAAAGGCAAGAAGCATCTCTACTTTGTTCTACAAGCATTAAATGCGCCAAAGGAACATATCTCGAGAAGAAGGCAATTAAAAGATAGCTATAAGAAAGTTATAAGTAAGTAGTTGGATAATTCTCCGATAGCCACAGTTTCGAATTGCTATGAAGGAAAGAGTACAGTTGTCAACTGTGTTCCTTGGCCAAGGCTCTGCTTATAGTGATCTAAGGGTTCGTCCGCCGGTAAGTCCGCTTCATATCGGTAAAAACTTACGCCAAGAATAGAATTTTTCATTCATAATACACTCTTAGCATTTAATGTTAGACCGTAGACGGTCTCCGAACAAGCGCATACTATATTCCGAAAATTCCACGTTAGGCCATAGTTTTTCCCATAGTTAGTCCCTTCTTGATCAAGTGCATACTAGAAAAGAAAAACTTTCAAAAATCTGGTACGTAGTCGTTGACGTTTATTTTTTCTACGTCCGTCCAAAAACACTCAATACAAAAGAAGAAAAGAAAGAAAGTCGGCTATGAATCGTAGATCGATCGTGAGCATGTGTACCTTAAAGAAATCGCCGAGGAATGTTACAAGCAAACGTACAGTCGTAGTTCGTAAGCGAAAATTTCGAAAAATTTTCTAAAAATATTCGTAAGTACTTCTGAAAAAATTGCATAAACTATTCAAAAGGATGGAAACTAATAGATCCGTAAAGGAAAACGGTATGAAATCATAAGACGTTTTGCTCGATTTTATTGAGAGAACAACAAACTGAACCCTCAAATGTTTCGTTTTTTATTTTTAATTCTTAGAGTTGATTAGAATCGCAGTCCATTCTCCTGCCAAAAGTGATTAAAGACTCATTTGCGTATAGATTTTTTCTCTCTCCGGGGAAGGGGCAATAAAATTCAAATTTGGTTTACTATAAAGACGATTATTAGAAAAGGGGTCGTCCTAGGCTGCGTGTAGTCCAATTTCTATTTTTTAATGTTAAAAGCTTCCCTTTCATAAAACAGAAAAGATGGGGAGATAGCAACCGATAGTTGATAGCAACATAAGGCGAGATTACGTGTAGCTGCATGTGTGAAACTTCAGGAACCTAAGCACCTTTTAGGCACTATAAGCAATTAGTGGAAATAAATTTCGGCTTGTACATCTTATTTCATGGATGCTTAAGTATGGCTACTTTCATATATTATGCAGAAGATCTAAAATGACGTAATATTTGACAGGTTATGAATGCAATTCGGGAAGTTTTTCGGCATTGTAAACTGCGGTGTACAAGTAGATGAAGCGATGACCTCCCCGAACAAATAAGTGCAGATACTGTGTGTAGTGTAATATGAAAAAAGGCTTACTTGAAAGTGAGGCATTGAATGTTTAGATATTTAGATATCATGTAATTGAAGTAAAGTTCAAAAGACTTTACGAAAATTGGAAATAAATGAGTAAATGGTATATATATATATATATATATATTGTGATGATTCATTTCCTTGATTTTCAGACGATATGGAAGAGAAATGATTGTGATGAGAGTGAGACGAGACACATTAGTTTGGACCAATTATGCTGTCCATCAAAAGATTGCAAATGAGATACAATAAACAATCATAGCCTGCCTTAACAAGTGTTCGTTAAAACCGTTCAAGTGTATAAAAAATAATTTTCAACTTTGTTTTTCTTTCTTTTTCAATTAATGAAAGAAAATTTAAACGCTATGTTGTAAAAGAGTTTCTTAAACTATTTCCTGCAATTATCAGTAATTTCAGCAGCCAACGTGCAGAGCCAGTGTATTGAATGAAGTGAAGATTAATAAAATGATCGAAACCAGTTTTCTTATTCCTCTTATTGGATATAAGAAGAAAAAACAAGCAATTTTTCCAATGTTTCAATGCAATGCAATGCAATGTGCATGGAAAGCAAAACCAAGGAAAACTTGTTGAATCGTTTGTCGCTTTTTAACTCGAGATTATGGAGATACAAAATTGATGTGACTAAAATGAAATTTCTTTCAATTGCGAAAGCAAAAAACAGTAGTGAGCTAATAAACGGCAAACTTAGTCATATATATACATAGTACGTACAAACACACAACATACATGCGCACATGCAGGTACTGTTATAATCAAGCCTTATTGATTAGAGAGCAATTTTATACTTGTTCAAATATATATATATATATATATATATGCACTCGCAACGACTAACTGGAACGGAACTCTAACGCTTGCAACACGTTATCTATCACACAACGCATAAATATAGTTGTAATTGTTGTTATTTTTCAATGAACGCAACGTTAGCAGCGCACGCAACACTGGCAAATGCGTGTGCAGAAATTTTCTCACGTTTTTCTATAAACCTGAAACAAAATTTTGCCCGGTTTGGGAAGAAAGTCTATTAATAGAAAAATATTATAGTTTGCCAAAAACAGGTTGAGGAATAGCCTTCGTGACCACAAGATGTCATTTCGAAACGTGTAAAATACAAATTTTTGAATCTATCCATAAATCTTCTAGAAGAAGAGTATACCCAATTAAAATGCTTTAATAGATTTCTATAGGATTCCAAATACCGTTCATTCTATTGCTGTCTCACGAAAACTTATTTAGAGAGATACACTTCTCGCTGACAAGTTAGTCTCTTTTAATGTTGTGCTCATTTTAATTTCTGCAATATCTATACAGCCATTACCATATGAATGCATATGAGGCACAATTGTGGAGACCTGCGGTTAAAATTAGGTTCATTTAATTTTTTTATTTAATTACCATCGCGAGGAAATTTTCATCACAAAAAAGTTAACAATTCGGTTTTTTTTGGCATGTAAGGGTTTACGCGCCATGCAAATCCTTATATGCGACAGTATTCGAAATATAGACCTACATGGTCTAAATTCGATAGGATAGATTTCTTGGTCAATTTACTATTGCGAGCCAATTTTCACTATGAAATAGAGAAAATTCGATCTTTTTACCATATAAAGCTTTAGTTTCCGAAGGAACGGTTTTATGAGAGCGAGTCGAAAAAGTAGACCTACAGGCTCCAAAATCGATATGGAAGATTTCTTTGACAATTTACTATTACAAGTCAATTTTCATCAGAAAACCATGGAAATGCGACCTTTTTACCATACAAAGCTTTAGTTTCTGCAAAAACGGTTATATGAAAGGGGGGTCCAAAAAATTGCCCTGACCTGTCCAAAGTTTTCGCACAAATTTAGAATGCCGAGAAATTTTGAAAATGTTAATTTTTTTCTATATAACGACTTTTCAGAATGAATCGCTATAAGGGGTCGAAGTAGTCGAAAAAGTGAACCGATCCGAACTATTGTGAATAGCATTCATCCTTTGTCCAACCAACGTCACTGTACCAAGCTTGATTAAAAAATCGTAAAAATTTTTGTGACCTATAGCTTGAGCACATTCGCATATGGGCGGATAGACAGACAGACAGGCTTAGATCAATTCAGATTATAATACTGAATCGAACGCTAGATTGAGCACATTTGCATATGGGCGGATAGACAGACAGACAGGCTTAGATCAATTCAGATTATGATTCTGAATCGTACGGTATGATGAAAGGTGGAACTATCTTAAGCCCGTCTGCATGTTATACACAACCGTAATTTTGTAATCATAGCACAACTTTTCAACTTTCTTGTGTTCATCTGATTGAAGTAAGTCTATCAGAGTCATATTTTAGGTTCATTTGCAAAATTCATAGAGATATACAGAGTAATTTTTTACAACTATAGATGTTTGTGTATAACAAACGGAATAAATAAAGAAAATAAAAAAAATCCATGGTTGAAAAGGGGGACTACGTACACGTATAAAACGGACTTCACGTGTAACAAGTTTGATTAATTTACTTAGCACTAGCACCTGAAACGGATCTAGTCATATAATTAGTAATGACGAGTCAAGTCATCTCACCTATGCGATAAGACAATGACTGGAGAATGTTGTTTAAAACTATTAGATAGATCGGATCAACTACAGATGGAATGCCAGACAGTGCTAACATACTTTATTGCTTGATATTCGTTGTGCATGTGATGTAAAATCAATTTACTTATCTATCATCAAAAAATTCTTTTTTTCTAATATCTTGGTTCTGTCTTTATTACTTACCGCGATAAGTTGCGTATTGTAACGCGGGATATGTACGAGATAATGATTTTTGAATGATTCAGAATTACGCCCCCTTTTCTGATAGTTTATAGAGTATTTAAGCCAATTAAAAAGCGGGAAAAGAACAAAGCGTTAACTCCCGCCAAATATCTAATCGAAGACAGTTTCAGGTGAAAATATTTTCTCTATTTTAGTAATAGCAAGACTTAATGCAGACAATTACGGCAGTCAGCGGTAATGCGTAATGTTCGAACATATTATTAAAAAAATGACTTCCTTTACAAGTTAATTTTCATTACAGTTATGCTATCTATTTTCTCTACAAAATTCAAATTTAATGCAAGCCCGACGCGCAATCTTTAATGAAAGTGTAACGCTTCGGTGACGACGCGTTCATATTATCATTATTATGGACCTTACAATAAAGCAGGTAATCACATATGTAAATTCGCAGAGGCATGGTTATACTACCCCTGTATGTTTAAATGTAAAGATATTACACATTAAACCGCAAAAACCTCTTTCAAAAAAAAAATTTCCATTTTTCATACCTACGCTTTGAGTGGTGTATAAATGTGTGTAGAAAAATAAAAATAAAATTATATTTACTCACAAATAAATCCGGATACTGAAAATCGATCGAAGGCAAAGGCGAAATGAAAGCGGAAACGTTGAAATGGTGGATTTTCTCGGAATTGCGAATCAAGCACATAACGAGATGTTGAGAGCGCTCTGCTAAAACTACCGGCATGCATACAATTTGCTGGCGATAAGACGAGAACCATTAGGTCGCGGCTAACAATTGCTGTTAATCAAGCGCATGTTTCCTTAGTGACTACCTGCTGGCTATCAAAGATGAAGCGTAGTTTCATGACATAACGCATACGACACATCGAACCCGTAAATGTACATTTTAAGCGGCTCAAGCGCAACACATTCTTCAAATAAAGCGAAGAGATGGCAGATGAAGGCAAGGTGGAACCTTTACAAAGATCGTAATCAGCTTCGCACATGTACCCCGATTCTAAGGCCACCGTATAGACGAGCAAGAAAAAAAGATCCGCCGACAACTGATGGCAATCGGTAGACCTGAGTACATATTGCAAATGTAGCGGAGCACATTCACTTGTCGTGTCCGATACTAGCAGACACTCGAGATTTGCGATTTTCGGTAGAGGCTTTTCAAGTTTTTGTTTCTGTTGTTGTTGCTGTTTCTGATCGTTGACAACGACGCAATATTGAACGCCACCAAACATGTGCTGTCACGTTTTCATTCTTACGAGCTCCTGGAGAATTACCCGGCATTTAAAATTTTTTAATCTTTTCGTAAAAATTTTCCAAATTCTTAACACTTGTATAAAAAAAGAAAGTAAAAGATTTGACATAAACTACACTGAATACCTTATCATTGCCTACTAATGTTGCCACGACAGCTGATTTCGCCTTTACGTGAAATATTGGTGTCTATAAGTAAAATCATCGCAAATTAAATTTATATTACAAACTAAATTTAATTTAAATTTTTAAAGTTAGTGCGGATGTATGAGGGCTTAAGATAGAGCCACCTTTTGTTTGACCGATCGTTTCAGAAACATAATCTGACTTAATCTAAGCTTGTCTGTCCGTACGTTCATTTAAGTTTGTGTTCAAGCTAGAAAATTTGGTACAGTGACGCGTTTTGACCAAAGGGCGAACGCTGTTCGGATTGGTTCGCTTCTTCGACCACTTCCCATAAAACGTTCTATTCTGGGAAGTCTTTATGCGGAAAAAATTGCAATTTTCAATATTTCTTGACAAAAGTGGTTACGGAATAACATTACGGCAATCTAAATTGGCGTAAAAATATTGGACCGGCTCGGGCAATTTTTTAAACCGCCCCTCTTATAACGAAAACTGAAGTTCATATGACAAGAAAGTATGAGTTTCATTGCTTTATGATGTAAATCATGTCATAAAAGCAATTTGCGATAGAAAAAGTGAACTGCAACAAACTTGGACCATATCGGCCAATTTTTTTAATTCTATCCTATATATTTTCATTAAAATTTTTGGTTTTTTAGGACAGAAAAGTCTTATATTATGATGAAAATTGATCCGTGATAAAAAATTAACTATGTTGAACACGAATCTCAATTTTTGAAGCTCGTGGACACATCCATTCTTACGAAAAGTAAGTCTTTATTTTCAAGGATTGTAGTTTTTAATATACAGTAAGTTCATATAAAAACAGGGTGTAATTATCCTGTTCTATGGCAAATATAAGCTTGTGTTAGACAATGTGGTGTAGGGTATTTAATAGTCAGCCTAGCCTGACGATAATGTTTTATTTGTAAAGATGAAGAATAATTTCTCCTGCTGTTGTAGTCCCTAGACTTTCTATTCTTTCTTTTAGAGGTCCTTTCAAGAGATGAGACTTTTTAGATGCGATTTTCATATGTTTTGCGTGGTTGGCTTTTCCGTGGGCAACGCTTCGAATGACTAATATTAAATAATTTTTTAACAATAAAAACTTTTAAATTTTTTTCCGCCTAGGCATTTTCAAAAAAAGCTCTCTGCGCAAATGTAATTGACTTACAAACCTCCAAAATAGCATTTCACTCATGACATTCCTAAGAAATCCTCGAGGAAGAATAAACTGACTTTGTTTCACGATTACTTCCTTGAAGATTATGCGATTGTTTCTACATTTAATTGTATAATCATTGTTTGCCAAAACCAATCAACTGGTGAACTTGAAAAATTAATAGTCACTCTTGTTTCTTGATGTCAGTCCATCCCATGCAATAATAAAACAAAAACTTAGAAAGCTTATAATCAAGATAACTACTTAACCTTTACTGTAATTTTGCGCTGAATTAAGTTCAAAGAGAAAGTTTCATAAAAAATTTAATATTTTTCTCTACATTTTACAATCAGCTCTATAAACAATAATTAACATAAATGAAAATTTCTTAATATTTTTCATTAGTTTTCCTGCCTTTTAGGCAAAGTTCCGCCAAAAATATATTCACTACACTCGTTATTGTTCATATTGTTAAAAGTTGACAAAGTGCAGTTGTTGGCCGACCGAGTGTGTGCGTGTCTGCCTCATAGGCATAAGCATGAGCTGTGATTTTTTTTAATATTTAGCTTGAGCACATTTTTGCATGGAGCAACATCAGACGAACAGACAAGCTTAGATCAATTCATATTATGATCCGAATCGACCGGGGTAGTACACCTTACATACATCCGCACTAACTTAATATAACCTACACGACTTGTGGTGCATGTACTTGGGGTGCAGGGTATAAAAACTCAAAGGAAGCTTTGTAATCATAGCACAACTTCTCAATTTCTTTTATTCATCTAATTGAAAAAAAACTATCAGAGTCATATTTTAGCTTCATTTTTACGATTCATAGAGATAAACAGAGTATTTTTTTTTATAAAAGTTTGGGTACAGCAACCGGAATAAATACAAAAAAAAATTCGCGGTTGAAAAGGGACTACGTAAATATATAAAATGAGGGACTACGTACATGTATGGCAGCCCGATGTAATGCCAAATATTCGAGTATATTATTGATTCTTTAAATCTCGGTTAACATTTTCAGTGTTAACGGAAAGTTGTCAAAATGACTGTGCGGAGTTGCTTAATATAACGCCTTTGTTAACATCCATCGGCCATGGAAGAGCAACATTTTCTTCTTTTGTGGAAGCAACATTCCACTCATAGACTCATTTAAGACTCAAGGAAGTGCACATACTCTAAATTCGAGCAGAATTCTTAGATAGGTTAGGTTCGTCCATCCATCTATCGGTGGAGAGCGCTTAGGTTCACAAAAGTTGAGACAGAGCATCCAGATTTACCCTCAGAGCTTAACGACACAAATTAATTTTGAAAGTGATCGTGTTGCCAAATCTAGCCAAATACTATACCCTACAAAGCCTAAGGAATATTAAATTAAAAGTCATACGAAATATTTGCAAATATTTCAGATGACATAACGACTTACAAAGATATTGAAAAAAAAAAAATTCCCAAGATCGAATTAAAAAGACAAAAATGTCTAATGGCCACGCCTACAACGCACAAAAAGTTTCGATTGCTCATGGATTTTATTGAGGTGTTGCGTATCAATCTTTTGCTAGAAAGTGAATACGATTTTCTCGTTCACGTTTTTTAATTTTCGCTACAAATTCTATCTATTGATCGTTTAATGGGAAGATGAGATCAGTCTTTTCTTTCTAAATTTCAATTTTTAATTTTCATTAAAGAGATGGAAAAAAATGACTTCCTTTGCCGGTTAATTTTCATTACAGTTATGCTATAATTTTTTTCCACAAAATTCAAATTTAATACAAACCCGACGCGCAATCTTTGAGGAAAGTGTAACGCTTTGGTGACGACGCGTTCATTTTATTACTATGGACCTTACAATAAGCAATCACATATGTGGCATTGTTGTATTACCCCTGTGAAGCTATTACACATTAAACCGCAAAAACCTCTTTCAAAAAAAAAAAAAAAAAAAAAATTTACATTTTCCATACCTACGCTTGAGGGGGGTGTGTTTATAAATGTGTGTATAAAAATAAAAATAAAATGATATTTATTCACAAATAAATCCGGATACTGAAAAAATTTATATAAACTATTCAAAATTTTGCTGTTATCTCTGTACGCTCGTCCGAGGACATTCAATGCAGATAATAGAGTACGCTATTACTCCGGCTCAAGCGATCCCGGCACGGCCGGTCTGAGTTTTGGAAATACTTATTTCGTATAACGATATTGTGTAGGCTGCGATTTACGTTCGCCAAAATATTCATTTGATTCTTGTCCAAGTGCTTCAAAAAATATTCATACAATTCAGCGGGCAGGGCATCAAGCGAAGGATAGACGTGAACCTGCATCCAATATAGCTGCTTATTACGCATCGGTACAAATAATTCATCACGCAGAATATTCGTTAATTCGGCCATTCTACGGAAACGTTGAAATGGTGGACTTTCTTTGCTTTGCGTATTAAGCACGTAACGAGGTATTGAGAGAACGCTGCTAAAACCGTCGGCATACATACAATTCGCTGGTGATAAGGCGAGAATCATTAGGTCGCCGGTAACAATGGCCGTCAATAAAGCATACATTTGCTCAGCAACTACTTGCCGGCTATCACTGATGAAACATAGTTTCATGACATAACGTGTTCGATCCGACGATGTCGTAAAACTAGGTTTCAAGCGACTCAAGCGTAACACATTCTTCGAATGAAACGAGGAGATTGAAGGCAAAGGCGAAATAAAAGCTTTAGAAAAATCGCAATTAGCTTCGCACATGTAACCCGATTCTAAGGCCACCGTATAGACGAGCAAGAACAAAAGTTCCCCCGACGATTGATAGAAATCGATAGAACTAAGTACATATTGCAAATGTAACGGAGCACATTCACTTGTCGTGTCCGATACTAGCAGACACTCGAGATTTGCGATTTCCGGTAGCGGCTTTTCTAGTTTTTGTTTCTGTTGTTGTTGCTGTTTCTGATTAACTTTAGTTTTATCCGATGACGACGACGGAATATTGAACGCCACCAAATTATTTCCAACATGTACTGTCTCGTCTTCATTCTTACGAGGTCCTGGAGAATTACTCGGCATTTTAAATTTGCGGACGAAGTTACAAATTTTTCTTCTAAAATCCATTTTTGAAAATAATTTTTGCAAAGTTTGATATTTTCACTCAAGCTTTTCTAGGAAAACCTTGATTTAATCTTTTTGTAAAAATTTTCCAAATTGTTAACACATATCAAAAAAGAAAGCAAAAGATTTGACGTTAACTATATTAAATACCTTTTCATTGCCTACTAGAGTTGCCACTATAGTTGGTTGGGTTCGCCTTTAGGTGAAATATTGACAAATATAAAGAGGACCATTGCAAACTAAATTTAATTTAAATTTTTAAAGTTAGTGCGGACGTATGTAACATGCAGAAGGGTTTAAGATCGACCCACCTTTCATTATACCGTTCGATTCAGAATCATAATCTAAGTTGATCTAAGCCTGTCTGTCCGTCCATCCAAGTAAATATGTGTTCAAGCTACAGGTAGCAAGTTTCGAGATATTTTAATGGAATTTGGTACAGTGACGCGTTTTGACCAAAGGACGAACGCTGTTCGGATTGGGCCACTTCTTCGCCCACTTCCCATACAAAGTCCTATTCTGGAGAGTCGTTATATGGAAAAAATTGCAATTTTCAAAATTGACGAAAACTGAAGTTCATATGACAAGAAAGTGTGATTTTCATTGTTTTCTGGGGTAAATCATGTCATAAAAACAATTTGCGATAGAAAAAGTGAACTGCAACAAACTTGGACCATATCGGCCAATTTTTTTAATTCTATCCTATATATTTTCATTAAAATTTTTGGTTTTTTAGGGCAGAAAAGTCTTATATTATGATGAAAATTGATCCGTGATAAAAAATTAACTATGCTGAACACGAATCTCAATTTTTGAAGCTCGTGGACACATCCATTCTTACGAAAAGTAAGCCTTTATTTTCAAGGATTGCAGTTTTTAATATACAGTAAGTTCATATAAAAACAGGGTGTAATTATCCTGTTCTATGGCAAATATAAGCTTGTGTTAGACAATGTGGTGTAGGGTATTTAATAGTCAGCCTAGCCTGACGATAATGTTTTATTTGTAAAGATGAAGAAAAATTTCTCCTGCTGTTGTAGTCCCTAGACTTTCTATTCTTTCTTCTAGAGGTCCTTTCAAGAGATGAGACTTTTTTGATGCGATTTTCATATGTTTTGTGTGGTTGGCTTTTCCGTGGACAACGCTTCGAATGACTAATATTAAATAATTTTTTAACAATAAAATCTTTTAAAGTCTATTCAGTCCAGGCATTTTCAAAAAGAGCTCTCTGCGCAAATGTAATTGACTTACAAACCTCCAAAATAGCGTTTCACTCATGACATTCCTAAGAAATCCTCGAGGAAGAATAAGCTGACTTTGTTTCACGATTACTTCCTTGAAGGTTATGCGATTGTTTCTACATTTAATTGTATAATCATTGTTTGCCAAAACCAATCAACTGGTGAACTTGAAAAATTAATAGTCACTCTTGTTTCTTGATGTCAGTCCATCCCATGCAATAGTAAAACAAAAACTTAGAAAGCTTATAATCAAGATAACTACTTAACCTTTACTGTAATTTTGCGCTGAATTAAGTTCAAAGAGAAAGTTTCATAAAAAATTTAATATTTTTCTCTACATTTTACAATCAGCTCTATAAACAATAATTAACATAAATGAAAATTTCTTAATATTTTTCATTAGTTTTCCTGCCTTTTAGGCAAAGTTCCGCCAAAAATATATTCACTACACTCGTTATTGTTCATATTGTTAAAAGTTGACAAAGTGCAGTTGTTGGCCGACCGAGTGTGTGCGTGTCTGCCTCTTAAGCATAAACACATTTTGAGGTGTGATTTTTTTTAATATTTGTATTTGGGTTTTTTGTTTTCTTTCTTTTCTTCTTCATTCGTTGCCAACCATTAAAAAAATGTGACTACGGCTATCTAAATGTTAACTGCCTGTGTGCAATAAATTTTAATATCATTTAAAAGTTCATCTACCCTAAAAATTCATGTAAATGATTACGACAGTATTGGTAGAAGTAGTTTGTTTTCTAGTAAATTAATAGATAAAAACCCGCTAAATGTAATTAATAAATAGAAGGAGAAAATCTATTAAAAACCTATCTTGTTCAACCCTTGCAAATATGCCTAGTTTTGGCGAGGTATGCGAAAGTGTAATATTCCATGGAGACTAAGTCAGGGGAATGCGATGTAGGTGGAAATAATTTAATGCAATTCATTGCTGTTATGGTCGGCTTGCGACAAGATATATTGAGAACATTTTTATACCCACCACTGCAAGATGGGAATACACTCAATACGTTCTTCTCGATAGTGTACGCAACACCCGAAAGGAAGCTTCAGAGACCCTATAAAGATATTCGTGATCAGCGTGAAATTCTCAATTGGTTTAGCCATGTCTGTCCGTCTATGAGGCGACTTGTTGTTACTGCGTTCGTCGCAAAGACGAAGATATCGATTTCAAATTTAGTAGAAACGTTAGAAGTCTTTGCACGCAGGTTGGTATTGGAAATGGGCCGAATTGGTCAGAGTAGAAGCCCGCAGTGGAGCATAAACTGAACGCAAGTCAGTTTATTTTAACAAAAATTTGTGGGTTTTTGCTCGTTGCCCAAAAATTATAAAAGCAAGAAAGCAGAAATTTTACTTTACGAACTCTACTACTCTACTACTCTTTAGATCCAAAAATGGAACCAATCGGACATGCCTACACCAAGTTACGTAAGTAATGATATTTTATTTTTTTTTTTTCAAGTTTTTCAGGTTTTAGTTAGGGAGTAATCACAAGATTATTTTTTACATTCCTCAAGTGAAGATATATTAGTTTGGGGAAAAAGAAATCCATTATTTTTTCGGTAGATGGCTGCACCGATAGATTTCTCGTAAAGTATCGATCGAACAATTTCAGATTTATGCTCGTTGGAAAGGTGACATTTTTTGACAAAGGCGAAAATGCAAGCCAGGCGGCTAAAATTATGAATGGTGTTTATGGTTCCGATACTGTAACGCCCAATTATGTGCAATTTTGGTTTCGTAGATTCCGTCCAGGAATTTTTGATGTTAAAGCTGCACCTCGCACAGGTAGGCCGCTCGTCGAAAATGTCGATAAAATCGGAGTAATGATCGAAGTTGACCGGCATGTTAGCAGTCGTAACATAGCCCAGGAGCTAAAAATCGACCATAAAACAGTTTTAAACCATTTACACAAAGCTGGATTCAAAAAGAAGCTCGATGTTTGGGTGCCACACCAATTAACAGAAAAAAACATGATGGATCGAATTTCTATCTGCGAAGTCTTGGCCAAACGGAATGAGATAGACCCATTTCTTAAACGGATGGTGACTGGAGATGAGAAATGGATCACATACGATAACCCTGTGCGAAAACGATCATGGTCAAAGAGTGGTGAAGCACCTCAAACGGCCAGGAAGGTTTTGCTATTCATTTGGTGGGACTGGAAGGGGATTATTTATTATGAGTTGCTTCCATACGGCCAAACGCTAAATTCTGATCTCTACTGTCAACAACTGGACCGTTTGAAGATAGCGATTGACCAGAAACGGCCAGAATTGGCCAACAGGAGAGGTGTCGTATTCCACCAGGACAACGCTAGGCCACACACATCTACAGTGACTCGCCAGAAACTTCGGGAGCTTGGTTGGGAAGTTTTAATGCATCCGCCATACAGTCCGGACTTGCCACCAAGCGATTATCATCTTTTTCTTGCATTGCAAAATTTCTTTAATAATAAAAAATTGGAATCTAGGGAGGATTGTGAAAATCGACTACTAGAGTTTTTTGCAAATAAAGACCAGGACTTCTATGAGAGAGGCATTTTGAAGTTACCTTTAAAATGGCAACAAATCGTACAACAAAACGGTGCATATTTGACCCAAATCGGACAATCCGAAACATGTTAAATAAAGTCCTGAAGTTCATATAAAAATAATGGATTTCTTTTTCCCCAAACTAATATTATCTGCCTAAAAATGGGTTAATTCTAAAATGAACATGATTTTCATGGTGATTAATATTTTCTTAATAATACCAGCGATACGGGTATGAAATAAAAGAGCTTGGAGAAAAGTATAGTGGTGGGTATGTGACGTTCGGTGCCCTTTCTTACTTGTTTTCGTTTTCGTTTGGGGCTTTTTTGTGCATTTTTGTTGTCATTCAAACACACTCCTTAACATTTTTCCACCTCAAGAACACGATAACGTTCCCAACCGATTTTTGCCTTTTTGGTTGATTTAAACGGCTTTCGCCGTTTGCTGTCCAGCCAGTTCACTATCGGCTTGACTATAAAGCGTAGTCATGAATTCATGCTTCATCTATTGTCACATCTCCTAGCAAATATATCTTTTTTATTTCGCTTAAATAACTCCAATGGGCGGTCTGAATCATCAACATGTTGGTTCTTTTTCGTCAGAAGCGAGCTAATCCCGTACCCACTTCGAGCGCACCTTTCTCATAAGCAAATGTTCTTGCAAAATAGCAACTAGACTGCTTTATCGTATCAGTAAGGTGCCAGTTATCTCACGCAACTTGACTTTTCGAAACAATTGCCGGGCTCGGCGACCTGGGCGTTCAGATTCATCATCGTTTGTACGGGTGCGGATTTAAAGTCAGTGAACCATTTCTCTAGCGCATATCTCGATGGAATAGAGTAACAAAAACTCTTGCCAAGCCATTGCTTTGCCATTAAAAATTAATACTTTATCAATACCCGAATTTAAAATTTTTCGAAATATATTGAAAGTTTTGAAAATGACAAAAGTAGCGTCACTAACACGATCTTAAATTCTAAACTAAAAAGCGGAATGTCATTTGAAGGATGATATTATCTAAAATTCATATGAATTTGTGAATAGCGAGGACATCTACACCCATCCATCCTATGAACTTATTGACTGAGGTGAAAACTGGCGTCGCTTTCCCTTAGAAACGTTGCCACAAGAGCAAAAGTTAAAGATTTGAAAAATTTAATTTTTTACTCTGAAGACAAGAAATATCTATGTCGATGCGTATGCGAATTTCTTATCCGTTTTATTTTTTAAATAAAATCTTTCGCAAATATTCATTTAAATATTTCCAATAGCAAAAAGACGTTACAGTACTGTTTTGTTTATTAATTATATAAAACTTGAACTTGACATT